AATTAACAATTAAAAAAAAACAAAAATCAAACTTAAATCATAATAAAAGAGACAAAATTTTGCAAGAATCTATCAAAACTACCTATTTTTTTGTGTTACAACGATAAAAATATATTGGTATATACCCTAATATTATCATGGATCTCGAATTTCGTGTCTCCCCAAATTCCTCAAAACAAACAGCACATGTCCTGAACTTTTCATCATCTCCTCCACCATTGAACACCACCACTTTTTCAGCCCATCAATGGAGCTTTCGAAGCTCCCATCCTCCTCTGTACAGACCCACTGCCATCTTCCGTAATCACCAAGTCCTCTGCCAACATAGACATATCGTAATTCGTTGTGGTGGTGAGTTTGATCCGAGCAGTGATTTGAATCCCACGAAGGTTCCCAAATCGCAACCAATCAAGATCGAATATGGAATCGATGATGTTGTTGCTTCAGGAGATCGCATAAACTAGGGTCGAATCGCACGTCGTAGAGTCCGTGGAAAATATAGAATTCGGAACAATAAATGGAGGAGAGAAAAGTGATAAGGAATGGTGAAGGAATCTTGAAAATCTGGAGCAGTGCATGTGGGATAATTGGTATTGATATTGCCTTGAGGAGTTCGGAGCTGAAGTTTGAGAACTCGGGTCATGTGAATTTTGACAAAACTGGAGTTTCAGGAAGTGGGTCGATCCATGGTAATGCATACACCTGAATGTTGTAGTCTGTTGATATAGTTGCCATTGACAAAAAGCTAGAAACAGAGAGTTGGAATTGGGATGATGAAGATCAAGATTACTTGATTTTTTTGCCGTTTGAGTGTCCAATTTGAAAACCCAACAAGTAATGTTGGAAGTTGGGTTTTAGTTTCCTAATTTTGGTTGAGTTTCCATATTTGAAATCCTAAATTATTTTGGAAAGTAAAGATCTGTAGTTTCCTAATATGCTAGGCGTGGCTATCACCTTTGACTACTACTATAAAATAAGGTCACTCACCCCATACCTTCATAATCACTATTCCAACTCTCTCTCTCCTCTCCCTCTCCTCTCCCTCTCCTCTCCTCAAGCTTCATCATGTTACTGTATTACGCAACTATGACATTCAGACATATGCAACACCACGGATCAACCCACCACTTCTAGTTCCAGCTCCAACTCCAGCGCTCATCGAAATTCATGTCAGCAATCTGGTTAAACTACATCTCCGAACTCGTCAAGGCAATGTGAATCCAATTATCCTACATTAGCTTTTCCTGATATTCAACATGACTTCGCCATTCCTCTTCAACTTCTCCCTTTCTCCATTTTCGTGGGATCCCTATATTTCAACCAGCTTTCGTCTATGAGATTCGATCCGAACTCTGCAATTCCATGAAGGGACGCATCATTAGTTCTCTTTCAAGTTTGATTATTGAATATGGGTGAGTCTTGGGTTTCAAGTCATTGTGGATTTGAAGATCACCAGCACGATTGAGTTTATTTCTACGCAATCGAGGGACGATATGATGATGAGTATGTTAGCCGCTGATGGGGTGGTTATCGTGGAGGATGATGGTGTAGTGTTGTGAAACTATAGAGACGATGAGGACGAGGAGGGGTGTTTCAAGGCTGCCATTGATGGGTTGAAGAAAGTGGTGGTGTTCAATGGTGAAGGAGATGATGAAAAGTGCATTACTTGTCCGGTTTGTTTGGAGGAATGTGGGGACGGAACAGAGCTTACTTCCCTGCCATGTTCTCATCTTTTTCATCATCGCTGCATTGTGCCATGGTTGAAATCAACATAATTCTGTCCGATGTGCCGATCCGTAGTTCCAGTTTAATCATCATAGTATTGTTGGTTTCAGATTAGGTAGTTTTGATTGATTCTTGAAAACTATTGTATTAGATTCATTATTAAGTTTGATTTTTCTTTCGATTGTTAATTATTTTATTGTTTTCAAATTTCCTTTTCATATGGTTTTCTAATTACATAAAAGCTTTGTTGTATTCCCTCATTTTGTTAGTGTAATTATTTTTGTGGGAGAATGTAATTGACAAGGGAACAAACGAATACATGGGAAACCCAAAATTCATTCAATAAGATTTAAGTTAATTAATCCAAACAATTATGCAACAAAACAGAAGTTTTCTAAGATCATTGTTGCATTTTAGCAGCCATTGAACTTGAATGGCAACAGAAATTTCACGAGATTTAAGTTCAGAGTGAAAATCAACAACAGGATTAAAAGATTAAACATCATCCAGCAACAATTCAAACCATCAAAAATCGGCCAAAAGAAAATAAGCAAACAAAATTGTAATCTGATTACAGGATGATGATATGATTACTGAATCACAAAGATGATTATAGTAGTCAATCAAATGAATTTTACTATTACAAACAAGAACAAGTCTTGGTAAAACAACAAAACAAGGATTTCTTAACATTATTAAGGGAATCCAAGACTAACCATCTAGTCACTTTAAATCTTAACACCAAACATAAAATTCAGACCCAGTTGAGCATCTTTTGGGTTTGTGTGTGCAAGTCAGTTGAACAATTGGAATCAAATCATTCTCATTCATCAAGGATAATTGGAATTCAAATCATACCAATAAAAGCGATGTCACATGAGGAGCTAATTTAACTCACCTTGAACTGCTGGACAAGAGACAAGGTTGGACCCATCCTTCCCCTTATGCACGGCTTCATGTGTTGGGATATACCTCCTTATTAGAGTATGAGACCCAATTGGTTTTGAAAAAGAGTTTAATTTGGTATTAATTATAATATATTTTATATATTATATTTAATTTGTGGAGACCCAATCCAATTTAAAAACAACTAAGGTTTTGATAAGAAACCCTAGATTCACAATATATAATATATATATATATATATATATATTTGTTTAGGTGTTTGTCCCGTGGGGTGAAGAAAAACGACAGCAGCTTTGGATCAATTGGTGTAGTGTGTGTTTTGGTTACACAATAGAGTTTCAATAGTGCTTGGTCAAAATCTGGAAGGATTTTTTTCTCTACTTTGTTTAGCTTCGAAGGGTTCTTTATTTTAGTGCATCTTCAAATGGTTTGTAAAGCTGATTTGGATTATAATATATTTCGTATTGTTGTTCCTAAGGAAAAAAAGAGGTACAGCGGCTAGTGCACTTTTCGGGTCCGTGCTCATTAACTCATCTTTGATGGTTTTTGGTTATTGAGTGGCAGTGCTTGAATTCAACCTCTGTGGATTTGATTCCAGCCGTTGTGCATTTGTGGTATTATTTGGGTCTTCTTCAACTCTAGTTCTAAAGATTTTGGTTCATCTATTTGGTGAGTTTTTCCTCTTATTTATTTGTGATTATTTGGAATTCACCTAAGGGTGGTTTGTGACCATCGTGTCTCGTTTGTAATCGTTTGAAACTTATTTGGTTGTTAGCTTATTGGGTGTTATGGAATTGAATTTCGACTTCCCGAGGACGTACCTCACATTGAGGGAAACTACATAAAAATTTCTTATTGTTGCTTTGATTTAATTTTTCTGCCATTAAATTTTATTCCCATTGATTGATGTACTTAGGAAACTCACATATTTTCCTCTAACAACATTGCGGTCCCGAACACCAATATAAGACAAGCCACTAATTCCTCTGGACTACTAAATATTTTCTCATCACACACTAGCTCCAAGCGACATTCTCTTTTAAGTTACTCTCCTATGCTCCTTTTACTGCAATTTCAATCCCCATTACCAGTCAAAACTTGATCATAAGTAACATTCTTTTATGGTCAGCTCAGTCATGACCTCAAAAGATACTGTTAGAAATTGGGTATGCGCCCATGTAGTAATGACCCTTTAAACCTTTTGAACCCATATTCATGTAAGTTTTGAATTTGAATCAAAACCCTATTGGATACACCACTCAGGATATCTATAACTACCTATATATCAAACTAATATGGATCTAGAATTGAATAGTATTTATTCCCATTATATTCTGATATATATATGGTTATATGGGTATTAGATGTAACAACTGTATGTTTTCTTGTTTTTCCCATACTGACTCTCTCTCCAATTAAAACAGACAGATCAAGCCATTTTGCTACTGTTGAACTTTGTGTGGGGTGATAGTTCATATTATGTTGTAGTATCACTCCACTGCTGCGGGTGTTGTTCAGACTCTGGAAGCAGTGATTTACCCACGAGATTTATTTGCTTCAGGCTCTGATAAAAGTATAGATTCT